CTGGCAGTTTAGCAACGCAGATGCAGGATGTTAGTAAGACAGCGGTGTCTGTTAAGCAATAGATTTTCCCGGACACTACGTTGCTTTCAAAAGGACCTTACACGTAAAAGTCGCCAAGAAAATGTCGAGTTCGCTTTCCGCTGCCACCAGTGTAGCGTCCCAAGGCTTCCTATAGGGTGGTAGAAGGCATAAGTGAGGATGAATACATGTATTCGGAAGACTACGGGGCAAATGGAGCCTGAGTGTGGCCCGAAGGTCAGCCCACGTACACAGGGACCAAACAAATTCTAAAGTGACCACCAAAGGTCATGTGCTCACATACACAAAGCATTACATGGACCGCTTCCTTTAATAATCGGTTTTTTCTACAAGTAGGCTGATGACTTACTACGCTGCTTTAAAAGTGAATCAGAATCGATCTTGATGCAGAATAACCAGTAATTATTGCTGCTGATTTTCAATTAATTCAAACGTTGCCAACATGGGCGTTTTGGTTGTGAACAAATAGGCATTGATGGTCCACCCGGCCAGCCTGGTGTAGCGGGCAAAGATGGGGAGCCCGGCCCCATGGGTGCCCGTGGTCCCCCTGGACCACCTGGTCCTCCAGGCAAGCCAGGTGAAGCTGGTCCGCGTGGCTATCCAGGATCCGCAGGTCGCGATGGTGCTCCTGGTCCTCGAGGAGATGTTGGCGAACGCGGACCCGATGGAAAAACAGGTGAAGAAGGACCTCCTGGACCTGATGGCCTCACTGGCCAACAGGGGCCATCTGGACCCTCTGGTCCCTCCGTAAGTATCAGACATTAATATCATGAACATGATAATGACCTAAACACCCATTCGAAAAAAATGCTCCCTTTGGCAGGGGCCTCGAGGAGAGCGTGGTCCACCCGGTGAGCCCGGTGATGCAGGCGAAAAGGGTGAAAAAGGTAGTCGTGGTCCAATAGGCCCACGTGGAATTCGTGGGAAGCCAGGAGCTGTCGGTGCTGAGGGTTCTACCGGTCCAGATGGTGATGCCGGTCCTGAAGGTCCTGCAGGACCCGCTGGACCTGCTGGTCCTCCCGGACCTGTCGGAGCTGCTGGAAACAAGGGACCCGCTGGTAGAGATGGGCAGGCTGGTGAAGCTGGCAATGCTGGGCCTGTTGGACCTCCAGGTCCGCCTGGTACACCGGGACACACTGGTGAGCGCGGCGATCCAGGACCTCAGGGCTACCCCGGCCTACCTGGTGCTAAAGGTCCAAGTGGCAAAATGGGACCTCAGGGTAACGTCGGACCTGCCGTAAGTCTTCTTTCCCATTAATTTGCACCCAAGTAACCATTTTCATCTGCTCTCCTCCATCCCTTGTTTGACTTAATAAATTAAAACCCTTAATATCTGAAGTTGTGATGATGTTCAAAGATGATCGTTTTTATTTCGCTCAGTAGACAATCCTTTCAGTTGTTACTCAAGAAACAAAGCACAAATTGCTGTGTTACTTAGCAGCAAATCACGCCTTTGTCACAGCATTTACTCCATAAGAGTTTTTTGATGTCAAAATTCTCTGAGGTGTAAAACTTTAAGGTTCATGTCCTTGGCAAAATCTCTTTACTTTAGGGAGTTCAAGGACCCCCTGGTGCACGTGGTCTGCCTGGACCTCGAGGAAGGAAGGGGCCCAGTGGAAAACCCGGTCGTACTGGTCCTCCTGGTCGTGATGGTAACCGTGGTCCTCCTGGTATTCCTGGTGAAGATGGTCCTCGGGGTGCGACTATGATTCAATCCGCTGGGAGGGCCCTCACCGGACCACAGGGCCCTCCAGGAGACACTGGGTACACTGGCGCCCAGGGTCCAGTTGGCCCCGTTGGTAAAGTTCTTACCTCTTCTCTCTCTCACCAAGTGTTATTTTCGTTAGATTAGAGCACGTTTTATGATCACGAATTGTGGAAAATGAAGTGTTTAGACTTTGCTAACATTTTTATCGGAATTCTGCACTTTTTTAATTCATTTATTCGAGTTAACACATATGTGAAGTTATGATCAATGTAACTTTTTTTTGCCCGCGCTTTCATTAAATGATGGCAGGATGACAGGTCAGTAATGCCTTTCGTAATGCGCGTAATAGATGACAATCGCCTGAAATGACTTGTATGACTACAGAAATCCTTAGTTCTTGTTCCAATACTTAGTACATAGCTGCAAACACTTCTTTGTAGGTGCACCCGGTGAAATGGGTCCTCCTGGTCCACCTGGAGCTAACGGGGAGGATGGTCCAGTAGGTCCAGAGGGACCCCGTGGACGCGACGGTATTGATGGGGTCCCTGGCCGGCCTGGCATGCGCGGTCGTCCTGGGCCACGTGGAACCGATGGACCGGCCGGTCCGGATGGTCTTCCCGGTGATGATGGACCAATGGGTCCCCGTGGGCCTGACGGAGCCATGGGAGCTCCTGGTGAGCGTGGACCTGCTGGACCCGATGGAGCTCCCGGTGAGGAAGGGGCAAAAGGGCCAGTCGGCCCCGTTGGCCCAATCGGTTTCCGCGGTCCTTCAGGGAGCGCTGGCAAAGACGGTATCAAGGGTCCCACAGGCGATCCCGGTCCTGATGGTCCTAAAGGACCTACTGGTCCTGCTGGTCCTCTTGGCGTAGATGGTCCACCGGGTCCTCAGGTGTGCTAATCTTGTGCAATTTGAGATTGCCTATACTATTTTTTTATCATATTTCAGGCCTAGAAGAAAAAGGATGAAGTTAATCTTTATGCGCTCACATACCAAAAGCACTTGCCATCAATGTTAATTTTGTATATCCTCGTACAGTTTCGTATGTGGATATTTTGAGTGTTCAGAACTTGTGTTTGAAGCCATTACGCTTCGACTTTTCAATCTAAAATGTTTCAACTGTTACTCTTGCAGGGCAAACCAGGTCAAGCTGGTCGTACTGGTCCACAGGGTCGTCAGGGTCCTCCTGGAAAGCCTGGTGCACAAGGTAAACCAGGCATAAAGGGAAAGCCAGGAAATGAGGGTCCTCCTGGTCCAATTGGTCCTCCCGGTCCTCCTGGACCCACTGGAGAGACCGGTGAGCCTGGTGCGGTTGGTGAGCCTGGACCCCAGGGCGTCCAAGGTCAACCAGGTGAACGGGGTCCTCAGGGACCTGAGGGAGAGCCGGGTCCAGCAGGTCCCGACGGTCCACAAGGGGCAACTGGCCCTATTGGCCCAACCGGACCTGTAGGTGATCGAGGTGAGCCAGGATCTGATGGACCTGAAGGGCAGCCCGGTGCACCCGGTGAACCTGGTCCACGCGGCTACCCCGGTCGTGCTGGAATTGACGGTCTTTCGGGTCGTCCTGGTAGGCCTGGACCCACGGGCCACAAAGGATGGATGGGTCCTCCTGGAGATCCAGGGCCGAAGGGCCAAAGGGGTGCCAAAGGTACCACTGGACCTAGAGGACACCAAGGTCCAACTGGTCTTCCCGGAGAACAGGGTCCGCAAGGTTTTGAGGGACCCATGGGCGAGATGGGTTATCAAGGAGATCAAGGCCCGACCGGGCTTCCTGGACCACCTGGTCGCGATGGTCCGCAAGGTCCACCAGGACCAGTTGGCAATCAGGGCCCTCCTGGACCCCCTGGACCACCTGCCATCACCTATGATATGGCTTTTAACGATGACACTGCCCAAGCTCAATTCATTGGAACTGATAGCATTAGTAAACCTGATGGATCACGCAAACTTCCGGCGAGAACGTGCAAACACTTGGCACAGATCAACCCTCACCTCCCTGACGGTCTCTACTGGATTGATCCTAATGGAGGCAGCATCAAAGATGCTATCGAAGTCTACTGCCACATTCAAATGGGTGAAACTTGTGTGACACCAAAGGAGGATGACTTTGAAGCCAAGTCTTACCCAGACGCCAATAATTACGAAGAGCACTGGTTCCATGAACTTCAGAGCAGTAAGATGGTGAGTGCATAACTTCACTGCTACCCATTGCATCAAGTCATACTAGAACGCTTTCAAATTTTAAAGAACCTAGTGCTTTGAAAATACATTCGACGATAGTGCCGGTAGAGGGAAATAATTAAATCTTTACATGCAAAATAATTAATCATATGCATGCCCCGAGGATGTGACATTTGAAGCATTGTGGAAATTGGTCCTAATCTTAGATCCTCTCTTGCATAATGTTCGGATTGGAGCCATTGCCAATAGTTTTAAATACCAATTATGACATTGGTCGTCACAATATCGGAAAGTCCCTGGATTGTTGATAACTCAATTTATAACTGAGGTTTGGCTTTATGATTACGCATGTCAACTTCGTCAAGATGCTCACGCCTCCAACTCGGCATAGGTGGAACTTAAGTGAGTCATTTAAAAATCCGTGGAAGTTACCAATAGTTAGTGTGCACAATAAAAAATTGATTTGTCAACCAACACTTTTTCTGTGATTTTAGTTTGAATATAATGTACCCGGAGATCAATTGGCCTTCTTGAAGATGCTGAGTTCAAAGGCCAAGCAAAATGTTACGGTGGTTTGCCGTCAGTCTTCACAAGAAGAGGCGCGCCTCCTCTCCGACAACGACCATTATTTCTCACGCGACGGAGAGCTCTTCAGCTACAATGTCTTGCGCGACGAATGTCAGGTATCTGTTCGTTAAATCCTTTAATCAGCCATTATCCACCCATTCGTCCAGCACTAAGGTTAAGTTGTTGATCAAACAAAGTTTTTATTAAAAATTATCAGAGCAGAGAGCTCCGTAAAATTTTCTACGAATGCTTTGTATCCTCGTAAAGCCTTTAGTTAAATTGTGGAAATTAAGATGTTTACGTGTGCAATTGAGTGTAGTTCCCAAACGGTCGGTTGTGGCATTTTAGCACATGAAGGACAGCTATGGCTACACCATTATGGAGGTAGTCAGCCGACCACAGCGGCTGCCACTGCGTGACATCTCTTTCCACGACTTGGGTGGACAATCAAAAGAAGTGGGGGTGAGATTGAGCCCCGTATGCTACGCCTAGGTCATAGTGACCGTTCAGCCACCAACCTAATGGCAACAGCATTCGGACCAACTGGGGTAACAAGACTTTTGTTTCCACTTCCTCTCTTCTTCTTTCCCGCTCTGTCCACTTCTTCTTACGCTTTGGCAGAGCTTAATAAAAAATTATTTTCCTCTTATCATTCTGCCCCCCTCCCAGTTCGCCTCCTAATTCCCCTCACGTATCTCCGTTATCCATCCCGTGATTCTGGTGTACATTGACATTGAAATAGGTGCTTTTTGGCGTAATAAAGTGAGTGCAACAAGACAATTTAAGCCACATTTAACTTTGGAGCCTCTGCGACATTTTCCACACATGCAAGGGGTGCTCATATGGAAGTTATTGCAAACAAAGAAGTCCTTCTAGTCCATGCCAATCAAAGTTGGCACTAAACACGACATGTGGTGTCAGTGGTGCCTGTAACCTACTTTCTGATTTGGCGATTTTTCTTAAGCTACATAAAACGGTCTCCTTACCAAAAGCCTGGGAGTGATGAATAACTGAAGAAAAACAGTTGCGAGCTCGATGCCTTGCAAAATCTATTTAACCACCACGTCAATAGATCTCCATGTTCAGATGCACAAAGATCTGTGCCTCATAGGTGGATTATGCGGACAGCTGGACTGCTTACGCGCTGCATGAGCTCGTCTCCAGAGCGTCGGAGATACTAGACCTAAACACAGTAGATGGAGGCATTTGCATAAAGCAAGTAGAGCTGCATTGCGAGGAAGATATTTGCTTTCTTGAAGGCGGAACTGTGGAGAAAGTGGAGTTGCTTACAGTTTTAGTAAATGAATCTACAATGTGCATGAAACAAAATAACATCGGATTAGATCGCTGATTTGTCCCAATTCACTACCGTATATGTAGTGAACGCATTAATGGCGATTCTTCGCTTACAATGGTCTCTACAGTAAAGTAATGGGAGCTTAAATAAGATTTCACGCGGATGGATGCTGATGTACTGTGAATGGCCGTATAGTTGTAAAGCACATCCCTCAAAGTTGGTAGCAAATTAGCGTCAAATACCTAAACACCTGCAACTAAGGGTTGCTGCACCCTAAACACTGGTGGCTAAACCATTTAAACAGCAGGATTTCATGAACAAATCTGCTTTCAACACAAAGGTTCAAATTCCACAGATTCAATGTTAGCGCAACTTATAAATGCGTTGTCCAAACTACTTGCGCTACAGCACCCTAACTCCTTGCTAACGTCGTAAAGTTCAAAACAGCATGTAGAATCATAGGCAACACTTTGAATGTTTGCTTAATTATGAATTTTGGTTGAGAGAATTCTTAAGGATTCATTATTGCACCTCCGCAAGGCGGCATGGCTTGCACATCATGAAAGTAGCCTCTCAGCCCTAGGGATCTGCCTGCGACCTGTCCCGGTTATCTACATCTGTATGCAGAGGAGAACTTGAAGGTTATTGGTACAACTCTAAGAGCAACCATCAGAAAGTGGAGTACTCAAAAGGTGAGAACAATGCTAACACTTCACTTCTGGTGTTATGCGCAACGTTAGCACTCAAGCCGATATAATTCTACATCACCTTAGCGATAGGGGAAATCGCGTGTAATACTGTGCTTGACTTTCGGTAGCGGTGGCGACCATCTAGCGAGTGGGCTAACCTTCAAAGCATACTGGATGATAATGGATTCTAGCCAAGGTTACGCCCTCTACTATGGGTGAGTCTCTTAAACCTATTTCTTTTCGAATTCCTGCCTCAGTAATTTATCCCGGATCATAAATTCTTCCTATATGATCAAGTGTTCCATCCAAGCATACCCCTTCAAATATCTGTACGGAGGTTCCGAGCTAATGGACCGTCTCGCAGTAAAATGTAACTTTTGCATAGACGGCTTCTTTGTAATTTATGGTAGGGTATCGTAGTAGAGTGATAGATCACCAAGCCAAATAAATATGGCAGAACTGAGAAAAAGCACTTCCTAAGAGGCGACGACATGTGGTGCCAAGACTGCGACAGAACCTAGACTTCTCATAGTACCAGGTTCCTTGACGCAGACAGCTCTGTTGAAGTTACATGAGCAACTTGATCATGTGGAGGAAAGGAAAATGGTTGACGCCATAAGAGAGAGCCATTGGTGGCCCTTGCTAACATCGAACGTCTCCGATTTCTACCGCACGTGCGCCACGTGTACTAGGTTTTAAGAACTCAGGTGCAAGACGCTGAGACATTGGCAACCTCATTCTTCAATCTCTCGATCTGCCAACACGGCGTACCTGATTCTGCACATAGAAACCAGAGGCCGAACTTTGAAAGCCGTCTTTTCAAAATCTTTGGATTCGTAAAATGCATACGACTCCAGTTCACCCCCAGAGAAATGGGTAAGTAGAAAGGAAAAGTCGTTTTCTTTTGGACTTTTTGAAGGTCTCTACAAAAGGAGTGCAGCTCGGTGATTGGGAGCTATGCATAGGACGAGACCTCCTTGTCTACCGAGCCTCTGCCCACACCTAAACTAAAGTCTCGCCTACCTAGATACCCATGAGCCGTGAATTGAGGATTCCTTTCGACATCCATCTTTTTCGAAAAAAAAAACGTTAGAAAAATGTTTAACGCAGAAAGCATATGCCAGGCAAAATATGTCCTACGACAGTCAGAGCCGACCAAAAGTCTTTAACGAGGGAGATCTGGTGCAATTGCATGGACCTCATCCGGAATGCGGAGATCGGCCCTGGACCTCTAACAGTACATCACAGCAAGATTAGGCCATATGTAGGTCCGAAGACGAAGTCTATGCGTTAGCAGAAGAAGAGAAGCCACCTGACGGAAATCTACCGGCCAGCACAGGGGACGGTGCTTGAAAGAAAAGGGGAGCTGTGTAACATATACCAATGCGTTTAGGCTTGTCTACATAGGGGAGAGGCGGGTAAGCACTTTCAACACGAATCCAGTTCGTGAGGGGGAAAAAGAGACGTTTACAGTTTGGCATTAGCTTTCCGTCTCATCAGTTCTCCACCCGTTTCCTTTCTTTCCATGCATGATGCCTTAGAAAGCTTCCTCAACTAACCATTTCTTGAAATCTAGAGTTCAGGGGTCTGAGCATGGACAGGCAGGCAGATTATTGTTAAAATGTCATATTTTAATTGCTTTTAGCCTCCTTAGTCTGATAATGGAACACTTTGAATCCGCTGAAAATTATAAAGCCTGTATTGACCAGGTCCCAAAACACATTATCACTGCAATACCTTGTTTATGTGACCGCCTGTCTACCCTCCTGCCCTTGAACCTCGGATTGCAAGAGAGGGTTGGTTGCAGATGATTTATTTGGCATTTGTTACAGGAAGAATGGGGATTGATATGC